TCTTTTTGAAATTAGCTGAAAAGCATATGTATTTTTTTTATTTATATGTATATTTTAAAACAATTTTTAACCATTTTTATTAGTTTATTAAAGATACAATAAAATGTAGAATTAAATCAACAATTCCACAATTCCTTTGAATCCTCCAACTGTACGATTGCGGTCGTGAGTATAACTTTTAAACTCATTACTCGATAGTAAGTATTATGCTTATCGATTGATCTATTCAACATTCGATTTACAAACGAGACGGTTTACATCCAGTAACAAGTGGCTACGCTACCGGCACCATAAAAGCGAGCTGTATCAAACCAAGGATCGTGTACTCGCCATATAAGCCGAGACAAACTAGCCGAATGTCCAAAAATAATGCTTTGGCTCATCATTAACCCCACAATGCGTCGCGATCGGTTCGTGCTTTGTCTTTTTAGTCGGTGACGCAATTCATACCGAAACGGAACAATAAAATTTTACACGACACCCATCCTTTTTTCTACTTAAACATCATATATATAAAACTCAATTTTGTTTACGCATCATCACTGTTGATCTCCGAAAGAATTGCCCGTTGACAACAGAGACATCGGTGCTGTCCTTTTTTTGAGTATCGATTGTAAAGAGCATTCTCATACCGCTGTGAGAACTTTCAAGAGTCAAAGTACTTAAATTCCTTCTATTATAATCTTTGTGTGCGGCTCACAATCGGCTGTCGATAGTTTTCGAGTCGATCTGGAAGCGAGATTACTATCAGGCATTTCGTTAACAACGTGACAGGTTAACAGTCACTGCCTTGAGTTAATCTGGTGGTTAACTGTGACTTTGTTTTAACTGGCATACGGCTTAATTGAGTGTGAGAAAAATTGTTTTCATTATTTAAAATAACTGTTTCTAATATGAAGTACGTATTATGTATGTAATATGTAGATATAATAATTGTTTCTTAATCTTTACTATTCTACCTCAAATTTATCATTTATAAATATGTACATGAAATTGCAAAAAAATTAATATTCATAAAATATATTATATAAAAGTAATATATATGCATCTAGGTACCGGAGAAAGTCTGAATTAATTTAAGTTCTTACTTTAGTACTTAGAGAATATAGGTACCTATCATGATCTGGTAAACCGTGTGTTATCTGAGGGATGGGTTAAGATTCTCTGAAACTGCATAGATACCATATTACGAAAGGTAAATTATAACTTTTGTTTGCTTGATAATTTTTTTTCTTCTAGCCATCTCCGTATCATCTAAGAAAAGATATCAACGCGTTCAGTCAATGAGTGTGATGTTTATTCATACTGCAAGCCAATCAATAAATCAATACAATAAATAAATTGCATTACAATGATTTTTTTTAAAGGAAATAACCTTTAAATTTGGTAACATAGATTTTTTTGGGAACCAACATTGGAGTCAATTTTCAGGCGTCGTCCAATAATCTCTATAAAACTTAATCTAATACATTCCGGTTATAGTTAACTACTTTAAAGTAGTGTGTCTGTGATGATGATGATATCAGCCGTTACCTGTTCACCGGTGAACAGGCCTTCCTCTATTAGGGAGTTTTGCCATGATTGGCAGGCGTATTGGCAGCCGCAGCTACGCTTTGGTGATGTTTCAAGAGGGACGCTACAGCTCATTCCTCGACCATAATTAGTGTTTATATTGTTCCTCTTCTGTACATCTATCAACTCCAATTAACAAAAGAAAGACGCAGAAAGCGCGTCAAATGTTTTTTTGCTATTTCAGACACAAATCAAAATTGAAAAATAATTCGCTAATCTAGTTGGACAGGTTTAAAAATTACGAAATTAGTAACGCACGTCGCCCGCCCCAGTGTGGTCGGATCGCCATTCATTTGATCAACAAAAGAGACATTCAGTGTCTACTTGGCACATTTTTTGTGCCATAAACGTCCCGTTTGTTTCACGATATTGTGAGCAAACATCGGTTTGCTTTGTGACACTTTAGTGTTACGAACAATGACGTTACTCCCCGTAGTTTTACATAAAGCAGTCCAACTTCGAGGACAATGTGATCCTAATATGTTTTGATGGGCTGTTCTTGTCTCTCGTTATGCTTGATTGGTAGTTTATAGCCATGACGGTATTCCGTTGTTGTAGCTCATTGTCGACATTGAGCCGTTGTTCTGTTATTATGGAATCATTTGTTTGTAACGCGTGTCGCATAGGCCCGTTAAGCTTAAACCAACAGTTTGTTCAGTTCTGCGTATATATATTCGGCATAAATGAAAGTGTATATTTTTTAATGGAAACCGGGACATTTCAGGTCCTGTTATAGAGGTTTATACAATGGAGGAAAATCTATTATCTATTTTTCTTTCTTGTAAAGCGATTTTTTTTATGGTTTGCGGTACAGTATTTAAGGCATCCCGTCCTCGCTATTGGATACGGGTGACGGAATGCCTATACAAGAAGGTACATGGTGGGCGCAGTTTAGATACAATATTTGAGGAGCATTAGGAAGGTACTACGGCCGGATACTACAACAAAAGAGTATGTGGTCGGCCCCCGAACTGGTGACCTCTGCTGTCTACCGGTCCCCAATAGTCTATCGGTACCCAACTTGTAAAGGGATTTGATGAGTGATGTCAGCTGGTTTATTTTTGGGGATGGAGATGGAATTTTACTTTGATAAGCTAATGGTATAGAATAGTGAGGTGTAAGTGGAAAAGAAAATGGAGAAGAAAAAGTCGGGTCTAGTAGCTGATGATTTTCAGAGGCCATCGCGTGGAAGTCAACCTGATAGAGAATATTGCTGGCAATAGAGATGCTAGTCACATAGATATAGTTATGTAGGTGTGTATCTAGATATTTTATGTATCGACTTTTTTTTCATGCAACCTAGAATGTCAAGCAAAAGCTGATAGTACACCTAATGGACTTAATGTTCAGGATTTTCCTAGCACGGAGGCCAGAAACACTTACTGTGAATAAATATGTAATGTATATGTATCTTGTATAACGCATCTGTATATTTGAATAAATTTTCATTATTATTAATGGAAAGTGGTAGCTGTATCGCATGAGCGACATCATGGTTATCCCATTATACTGTGACATCTATTGTGTTATATGTTTATGTCTTTAGGTGAAGATTATTAATTTTTTTAAATGTCGATATTTTTTATCTACTTATACTAATATTATAAAAAGGAAAGATTTAATTATTGGTTTGTAATGAATAAACTCAAAAACTATTCAACCAATTTTGTAAATTCTTTTGCCATTACAAAACTACATTATCAGCGAGTAACCTAGGTAAGGTATATATTATTTTCAAAATTCTATCCACTCATGCGAAGCCGGGCCGGATTGCTAGTCTACTTATGAAGAGATAAATAAAAAAAAATCATCATCTCATATATCGATCAATATATAGATATATCTCATATATATAATATATGTATAATACCTGAATATTAACTTTCCTCTTTTACATGATTTCTTATTGAGTAGATACTTTAATATGAAAATATTTTTTACACATACCTATTAGATACTATTAGATGCTTACAATACGGTCAATATAATTTTCGACATATAATTTACATTATAAATTAGATATTAAAGAAAAATTAAAGTAAGTAATAAGGAAGTAATTATTGTCAATTCAATTTTATTTAGTGTGGTCCCAATATAGAATGGGCCGCCCCTTCTAACCTCGCGACTAAGGGAATTTAATGATCAAGGGATGGGTATCAACATCCCTCTTAAAACATTATCAAAGCCTAACTGCGGTTGACAATCCGCCTGCCAATCGTGGCAACTACTGGCAAAACCCTTTTTATTGGAGAGGCCTATATTCAGCAGTGGATAGTTAACTGCTGATATTATAATGATGAGATACTAATTTAATAGATTTTTAACTTATATCTTACTTGTATAATTAAAAAGAAAAAGCTACGAAAAATTAGCAATATTTCAATGCAAATACGAATAAATAATATTTATTTGATACCTGCGACTATGTGAATTTGATAGATATATTATTTAAACCAACATTAAAAAAACATAAAACACGAAGTGTTAGCTAATAAAACATCCGTCTTCATTTTCACATCTGTTACATACCTACCTAAAATCTAAAATTAGAACATGACATATCTAGAAAAAAAAAAACAATAAGTTAGATCACTATAGGTAACTAAGTGGATACCTCTATAAAAAAATAAATTTTCAACCGCTGTAAATTAGGAATTATAATTTCATTAACTTAGTCATTACATGACATGAAGATAATGTAGTCGTTGGGGTATAGTGTGGAAACAAGACATAAGAGGCGGCGCGTAAGCCGGTAGCCGCGGGCGCACATAAATAACCGGCCACACCGCAAACAAGCCTCGTATTTACGACAATATTATGTTTTATACATGCGCCCATTCAGTACACGGAGGCTCTAATACGCGGCCTACTTAATAACCAGAACGTGCGGAAGGCGTAACCCAGTGGCAATCTACCGTCTCGCTCGACGACGCCCCGGGCGCGCGCCTAAGCGAGACGAACAACCACAAATTTATTGAAACGAAAAAAAAATCAACTGCTACTGCACTCCGCGTTCGCCTCCACAGAACTAGATACATTTTTCCACGTCGCCGTGTGAGAGCGAGAACCGCTACGAAGATAGTATGTGCGACAGAGACGGATATCGGTCCCCGAGTAGCGCGCGCAGCTAAACGGCCGGTCATGTGGGCGCTGCCGGTGTTGCGCACGCGCAGCTACCTCGCCGCGGCCGAGTTCCACGCTCACGCTGCGTCGTCCGGCTCGCTTAGCCTGTGTGACCTTTACTTGGTGAACTTAGGAAGCGTCGTCCGCTGTGAAACGTCCATTAGACCCCCTTCGTCCCGCGCGGCTCGAAGCATCCAGCACAGCATCAACAGTGCCGGAGCGAAAGGGATGGCTGGCGGTCGCCGGTGCCGTGGTTAAAGGTATTCGTAGAATGCGTGATCTGTATCGGGCGGGCGGGAGGCGACGCGGGGTGCGGGGTGCGTTCGGAAGCGGTGGCAGCTCCCATCGACTCCTGGGGTTATTCTTCCTCAGGCCACTGCTGCTCGAGCGACGTACCAAGCGAGCCAGTTTTTTCTGTCCACCGCACCGCACGCCACACACTCGTTAAGCCAGTGCCAACACGAGAAGTCGCCACTAATAAATTACTGTTTTTTACTTCACTCGCAACAGTCACCGCCGCGCAGTCGAGTAATTTATACGTAAAAATAAACATTAATCAGTAATAATCGCAGTTGTTAGCGACCGAACACAGTGAGTACCCTAACATCTGTTCATATATTTTCCATGATTTAATCGTTACTCTCTTAATTCATTGAATCAATTACAAAGTTGCACAATACTCGATATTTATAATTTCTCACTTGAGTTACTTATGATATTTCTTACGACAGTCATTTGAGAATAATGTTATAATTATCAGAATTAAGAGAGTAAGTGATGAATTGTAATTTGTTTTTAAATTTGTGAAATGTTACACATTTGTTGTTTGTGCCTTGTGTGTAATTGCGAACAGTTATTTTAATTAGTTTTAATTTTTTTTTCAAGAAGTTTAAAAGCAAATTATATTTTCCCTTAATACTCGTATTTATGCTAATACACAACGCTTTTTATATATATTTTTATTTAGTGATGATATTTAAATGTTTTATATTGTTAGTTCTTTTATAAGTGACAACCATTCCAAATGTAAAAAAAATGTGTTATTTATTACAATCGGTTCTTATATTTTGCTTATATAACCAATCAGAAGGAAACCAGATGCAAAGTAACTTATATCTATATTATTACAAAAAAAAAATATATATATATATATATATTCCAATTAAAATTTATATCGTAAGATAAAGTAAATATAAATTATGAAGGATTCGACATATTATAAAAGGTTCCCATCCTTTCATATCTACAAACAGGCGTTATTTGAATAATCGTGGCTATTATCATGTAAATGGTGTTTAGCGCCTCGCTCGGCGCTAGTCACACAAAAAGGACAGAAATTATTGTCCTTGTTATTAGACTTTTTTTTCAACAAAAATCATGATGCGCACCCGACTTGGCCTCGCCATTCACTGTCCCATACTGACCATTTTATAAATTTATGGTTTATTTAACAATAAAAGAAGAATGCACGTGGAATGTTTGGGATGTTTTTTGGTCCTCATACGCCATTGTTGTTCGAAAGTTTTGTATTGCAAGCATCATTAGGTGCAGTTTTTGACACTGACAGGTTCCCGTGAGATTTGTGGATAATGATGTTGCTTAATTGATGTATTTATATTTATATTTTATATGCTACTGAATTAGTATGTAGTATATTACTATAATAAATATTTTGTAAAATATTTAAAAGAAATCATATCTCCTAAAATATGCGATAGAAAATTTTAAAAAAAATTTGAAGAGTAATGAAAAATTACATGCAGCTATTATTTTTAAAATAACCTTCAAGAATAGGTATCTATAGGCAAAAAAGTATAAATATAAATTCTGAATACTTACGATTAATAATTATAAACTTGTTCTTACACAAGGTTATATAGAGCCCGTGTTTAACTATAATCTTAACTTACGCTGTCAGTAAGTTATTACTCATTCTTTCATTCGTTCATTTTTTGTTCCTTGCAACATCACGATGTCTAGATATTGTCAGAAACCCTAAAAATAGATACACAGCGGACAAGATTCTTTATTTTTTTTATACATAAATTGGTATATTTAATATGTATGCGTTTTATTTATTAATATCTATACATTTTATGGTATTATATTGATATATAATAGTGCATATTAGTTATAATTTTTGATGGAATATGAAAAAAGATCGACATAGGGTAGGGAATATTTTAAAAGGAGATACGTAGATATACAAAAAAAAAAAAAACTAAAAATAATTAACGAGCTCTAAAAAATATCACCTATAAATAAGTTTGTAAAAATATCGTACAATAGTCAGTCGATAAAAATAATGGACTTATCATGAATAAGTATGTGACTTACACAGTATTAATGTGTTAAAGTTAGTAGTTACTATAGAGTTTAGATCAATTTATTTTTATATTTTTACGTTTAATAATATATATAATTTGCTGAGCTGAATGTTACGTTGTTAAATCACTAACTATAACGAATTATCGTGTACAATTTTCACGCAAACTGACGCCTAATAATGACTCTCTTACGAACGTGGCCTTGTATGTAAGTTGTTGTGTTTAATAAGGTAAAGTGCTATAATAAGTTTATATAAAACATCGCACGCCCGAAGGCCTAAACGAATTTACATAGGTAATTACCACTAAATGGAGTTTATAGAGCTGGAGTTAGGTGATTTTTCTATATAATTATCGGTTTTAATTTGTGTATTAGATAAAAGAATAACAATTTACATTTGCCGTTGACTTTCTGCAATAAGAATATTAACCTAATCAATCCAGAAGGATTGTCAGAGAAAAATAAACTCCATTTTTAGGAAATTAATTATGTATATTCTTGTTAACGAAACATGTGTCAAGTCCATAAAATAGACGTTATTAAAAGCGATATCTAACGTAAAAATGTTGGTTGTCTATGGGAATCAGATTTATCGTACACGGCAGTCGAAAATGTCTAGTACCTACACACTTTTTATAATGGCTTATAATGTACTATCTCGGAACTCACAAAAGTGTATGGATTAGTTTTAATAATTTAAATTTACAATATCATAGTTAAAAGATTAATTTAGAATTAATTAAGACTAATTTAGCTAGCGTACCTCATTTTATCATTAGGTATACGTATTTTACAGTTTGTAAAAAAAATCATAAGTCAAATTAACGAAATAGTTTTTCGTAGTATTTTTGTAGTTCTAAGCGATTTCAAATAGGTAGATACTAATGTTGTCATGAATGTAGTATTTGTTTAATGTTGTGGAGCAAAATATTAAAAATCATGTTTCTAATTCCATAAACATTGATATTTTATAAAAATATTTTATGTTAACGAAATAAAAAATACTATTATAAATTTTAGCAAACTGTTAATTAATTGAGTGGCGGGCTCCTGGACTACGCGTAACGCAGTGGCACACAGCTGCCACGCGCCGCCCGCGCCTTACCAATTGTGGAACACTTTTGCAAATTAATCGGATTATATTTGGATGATGATACCGTTTATATCTTTTTTCTGTAATTTTATGAACACAAATTAGGATGGTTCACGCAACGTCTCAGAGCATTATTTATATTAATATTAAATCGAAGGAATTGTAAATTCGTATGTACGTACAATTGGCGAAACAGGGGTATGTGAACTATTACTTACAACGTATTTATGTTGTAAGTAATAGTCTACATACCTAATACTTCATGCATGTGACTTATTATTTTATATTTTTTTTATTAAGATCGTTAACTTATTTGCCATCCTAAGTTGCATAAAAATAGTTACATATTTAATTAAAAAATGAAATTTGTGAAATTTTATAAATAATATTATAAGTAGGTCGGTAGTAAAGTTTAAGAATAAATAATAAAAGTTTTTAATGGTAGATTTGGATTAATTTTAAGAAATCATTAGGAAATTTGGAGAAATGTCAAATTGTTTTTTAAAATTGACAAAAAAATTGCGACGTTTCCACACTTTGGTAAGCAAAAGTTATAAACGCTCTTAATTGTGCCTTCGATACAAAACAATATTTAAAGCAGCCAGTCTTAAGTAGTGAAAGTCGAAGAAAAAGTACAAAATCGCACCCAATATAAATTCAAATTTTCGAATTCCGAACGCGTTTATTCGGGAACGCCGTAGACTCGCCGCATGACGCCTTCTCCGCACGCCACTTTCTTTTAACTTTGCCGAACCGTTGAACAAGCTCGCTCTTTTTTCCACTATGAATAAAAAGGCTCTGTCACATATCGGTCGCTAAATGAGAAACGTAGTAAGTGACAAAAAATAAATACAAGTTTTTCTTTATTGATATACATAGGTACTACGTAAATAGATATTGATTCAATGATAAAAATTAACAATGTATAGACGTAAATATAACTTAAACGCTTGTCGTTGATATTCCGTGATCAGAACGAATAAACCGATCTAAATACATTTTTTTATGTTCTTAATTGGTCGTATTTAGGAAATGAAAAAGTACTACTTTCTTTTTTAAAACGATTTATGATGCTTAAAAATAGTCAAAATCTTTGTTGATTTAATTTTGCGATATGAGTACAGTGGATTAATGATCAATTAATTTTATCAACGCATTTCAGTTTTGTAAGTTTTTAAAATATAATATGTCTTTTTCACTATAATTATAATTAAATTAAATTGTAATTAAATAAAAAAATAACTCTTAAATGTCACTTATTGTATTTTTCATTTTAAATCCATATGCGTAGAATGCACTCAATATTAACACATATTGGTCCATGTTTATAATAAACCACGGGGTGGAATATTCGAAGACAATGATTATTTATTGTCAGCATGGCTTTTGTCATAATACCGCCGAAGTCAGACCGATATTATATCCATTTATAATGTTTGATCGAGGACAGAATCGATTATAGTAGGTAAGCATAGAATATTAATTTATTTTTTTGCCTACATGTAAATATTTGTTAAAGTAAACATTCTTATAATTTAACATTTAATTATAAGTAGACATTTGGTAATTTGCTAATTGAAAATTTATATAAAAATATTATTAAAGTATGAAAATGATATTTTAATAATTGAAACAATGTAAAGCGGGTGGAATTTAAATTTGCAATAACTCCATTTATTGGAATATTTTTTTTACAATATTTCTTCTTATATAAATTTAAAAATATTCTAGCACTTGTTTTTTGTGCATCATTGGCATGTTTTATCACGGTTGAAGTATTTTTTATGGAGCAAAATATAACATGTATCTAAGTAGGTATGTAAGTAATCTGTAGGTAGTTATATTACTTATGTAAGTACTTTAATAATACCTAAATGTAATGAAAGTCATTGCATATTCGAGAGTAAATACGCAATACCTTATTTGTATATAACATCCTTAACATATTCGTTACAAGAACACGACAGGAAACTTTTGTTTGAACGAGATAAAAGACAAAGGTTTCGGTTCTTATCTACCGGTAATCTCGACTATAGATAAACGAATTCCTTTCTTGGATGTGTTAAATATTAACAAATAGAGCGCTAACTTTAGACAGTTTAGACGCCGGACCCATTCAAGGGTCGACAAACATTTGTAGTCACATCAATGTTGTTTCTTTTTGAGTTAC